GATTATTCAAAATTATCTTTATAATTTTCTTTTTTTAGTAAGCTGACGCAAATAGAAGGTTTGATGTGTGTGTACTATGATTGTTAATTTGGATTTTTTTATTATAGACCCGAGCGAAGCTGGAGCGGGCCGCTAGTTCTCTATATTTTTATACCAATAGGTAGTTTATGGGGAGTAAGTAGTTATATTTTAGCTTTAATGAAAGTGAGCTATTTTACAGCAGCAAATTTAACGACGCCTAAGCCGCTGACAATCCTATTTAAATGTAAATTCCGCTGAATTAGTTCGACACAAGGATAAAGTTTTACGAATTGTTCTTTTTTCCAAAAATCACTTAACATTTTAAGTTTTAATGTATTCTTTATCGTAAGTTTTGCGTGAGTCAGCCCCGGCGGGTATGCTGCTTCAAAAGGTGTTGCACACTCATGGAATGCCATAACATAGATGAAACAATTGGCCGGGTCAAACGATAAGGTAGAAAGAATTCGATAACCGGTGCATTATGAAGGCACAAGCGCCTACCGATAAAGATTCAATGGCCACTTTTATTTAAGTCGAAGTAATGACTCTGCGATAAAGTCTCAAAGGTTAAGGAACTTGCAGCTATCTGTTTGTGAATGCACGTTGCCCTCGGAGATGCATTAGAGTCGTTTGCGATGCGATTGTTGCGTTGAGTACCGTTATTGGCGGTACTTAGACTATTGTCGGGGTCTAGACGTTTCCCGTGGGACTATAGATCGCTCCGTTATCAGCTAAAAATGTCAAAAACTTAATTATTATTTTGTGAAGGTGAAAGAAAAACAGTATAATATTTATTTTTCAAAGTTGACATTCAAATGAACCATTTTTTTATTTTTTTTTTATTACTTAGATGGGTGGACGAGCTCATAGCCCAACTGATGTTAAATGATTACTGGAGCCCATAGACATTTTTTTTTGGTACAATTTTTCCTTATTAGGAAAGCCAAGGGGATCTAAGCCCGTACAGCCTTGTCTGTTCTATATAATTCCTGAAATTTTTTTTCAAAAAAGCCAAAGCCAGTATTTACGACGTAAATGCGCCACCCCCCTTAAAATATAAGTTCTAAGGTCTCAAGTATAGTTCTAACCTAACCTATATGTCTAACCTAACCTAGTAATTAATTCGCGCTCGCGTTCCATTGGTGTGTTGCTAGTTACGTCTCTTGTGTTATAATCTAGGTCATGCTATCGATTTATGTTACTGCACCTGCCACTTCCTACTTCAGAGTCAATGATATCACCAAGTCGCTATCGTAATTAGCCGTTAGTTACGGTGTGATTGCGCCGCCGTGTTACTCATTCGGGAGGCAGAACTAATTTTGAACCTTTTGTTAACCAAAATGACTTCTGAATTCCTGTGCCACATGTACGAAATAATGATAATGATCAGAATGTGGTTGCGTAACCTCAAAAAAAATATGGTTTAAAGATAAGATATGTTATTCATGAAAAGTTTTTAACAATTGCTGTGAGTCAAACAAATAACCAGTTAAAAAAAGAACATACTCACTCATGATTAATTATACATTTCGTTTAAAAAAAAACTTTTGCTATTTTGGTTTGTGCATAAGGCTTAATGTGTACATGATACACTTTTCGAAAAATGAAAGAATGATATTTGACGGAAACGGCTCCAATTAACGAAGTCAATGAATCGATTAATGTTGAAGTATCTACGGATGCTGATGGAAAAATCAGGCCAATTGTGTATCCAGAGAATTGAATGTGGGCTGATAAAACGTAGGAGGAGGCCTTGCAAAAGTCGGTTAGACTTGGACAATTAGTTTTCGTTACGTATTTTAGCAAAATAGACCCTAACACTTTTAACATTCAGCACGGATTCGCATCCGTCGGGATGTCTACGAATTTGGCGATGCTTTGAATTAATTATGTCTCGGTAACCCACCGATGGTTTGTCACGTAGCTTACCAAATATAGTTGCAAGTATAACTTTGCCCACACCATGTAAGGTCCGGGCTCAGGAAGGAAGAGGTGTGACTGAACTCGATACCGACTTAGATGCTCGGGAACAATTGGAATGGATTTATTTATTCATCACGAAATTGAAATGCAATTTGGAATCATACTTCCGACGGACTTTCCGGCATAAGGGAAGTGCATTGACCTTAAACATGGGAAATTTTAGAACCTGAGATGAAAGATAATTACGTTTGGGCTTGTTTTGTTTGAATAGCTAAATGAGGATTGCAGCCCAACTAATGAGAAATCGTTTGGTCTCCTAGTTCTATAGAATACAACCATCTCATATCGCTCAGTTAAACTTAGCGAAGTTCCGGTGATACCGCAAACTATTATAAAGGCAACTATTATATTCATCGTGATTGTGTCTCGGTACTGAAAATGGATGGGTTTTGGACACATTGAAATGGCGTTACCTATTCGGTATAGAAGTTTCTGTGTAACCGTGGATAGGAAAAGGCGAGGATACTGCATGATGTATTTTGACGAGGTTTTTATAGTATTGACGAAATTGTTATATTATAAAAAATATGTTACAGGTGTTACTAATCTTCTTTATTTATAGATATAACCCATAAACCATATGTATTCTTTCTACAGGAAAACTAATGTCTCCAAATATTATTATGAATGTTTCGGATTTTTGTTTTGATACTTTTTCTTCGAATAAAAAACAAAGCAATTTTTTCAACGTACGCTATCTGCCCCGATTTATCTGCTATTTCGACCTTCAACTGCATTTATTATTCTTGTCGCATCTCGTATTTTCGTCGGAATATGGAAAAATCGAACACGTGATTGCGGTTAAATTTCGCACATACACTTCCATAGATTTTGTGAATCACAATACATACTTGATGTGTTGTTCTCGGAGTGCATTTAATTTTAAAGTTTCTGCATGAATCATCCGCATAGCGTTTCGTCTTGATTGATTGATGTGGGCCTAGTGTATTTTCGGCAATATCTCCCAGGTTGTCGCAGAAATGTAAAGCCACGTGTTCAAATGCGCCGTTCCGCCGCCGGGTCATTAGCCAAGGTAATCTGGTCATTAAACACGTTACTTATGCTTTGTTTCGTCACCGGGATTATCTTTTAGGAGCGTTCTATTGTTTCTTCTTCGTAACTTGGATGAGTACCAGTAATGTATTTAATATCTTCAGTCAATGACTTTAAATAAGGATTCGTTTTTTTTGATATTTTGTCATGGATTTACGTCAATTATCTTGTTTTAAATTGCAAAAACTTTCGCCCACATAATTAATTAATAGGGTAATAATAAACCGTTGAAAAAATAAATTGCTTTTAAAAATCAATTCGCACGATAAGTAATGATTGTAAAATACAATGTCAAATCAGATAATCTGATATATTTTTTTAATGCGTGACTCACTTTTGTATGGCACGTGCCGATCGATGCCCGCCGGCCGACACATGCTGCCGAAGACACTAAATTAAAAAAGAACCGATAGGAAATAATTAAGGTTACTTAAATATTTGTTTTTGTTTGGCTTTATTATTTTGGAGCTTTGTAGTCATTATGAGTAGAAAGCTTGAGCGAAAGCGGGTATAAAAAAAGATTATGGCCTAAATGATTATACGCCCGATGCACTGGTTGCAAGTGATGCGACAATGTCAGGGCTCAAATGCTGCAGTTAGATTTAAATTTTCTAGAAAAATGCATATCTAAAACGTTCATTATCGATTTAGACTATAAATAACGCTAATAACGCAAATATTAGAATTGTAAGCAATTGCTTTACAATTCAGACAAAGTCCTTGAAGTCTGAAGGTGGTGGTAATCTTATGATGTCTATTGGCTCTGGTAAACATTTAACATCACTTGTGCTGTTCGTACACCCGTCTAATCTATGAAAAAATTGACGATAATTTAGGCAGGACCATATTACTAGGATGATTGGGAAGTAATAGTAAGTCCAGAAGGCTAAGACGCATCCATTAAGTTGGACAGAATTTTGTTGTTAGATTTTCTAACTTATTCGAACAGGTTCAAGGTTCATTTTCGAAGGTGTTATTTGTATCTGTGTATGTGACACATGCTCGAATTAGTAACGAATATTAAAGTTATTATTTTTATGAAAATACTTGATTTAATTGTTTCAGTTTACCTCAAACAGTGTTATTTGACTGCGGTTTTGATACATAGTGTTTACATTTTGCGTTTTGTTATTTTGAATAAATAAGGCTTTTAAACATTGTAACTACATTAAATAAACATTGGGAATTTATATTTAGGGATATATATTGTAGAAAACGAATAGTTTCATGAGTTTAAAGAAAGATTCTTTTGGCCTTAGTTCAATGCATGCTATTAAGATATTATGATGATCTCGTCTAGTCCGTCGTGTCATCGCACGACTCACTACCAGAGTAGAGTAAATGTAAGTCCTATAATTAGGAGTCACTGTTTTCATCCCGAATGCCATTCCAGATATCTTTGTTTTCCTCTCATTCACATTTCCTTCATTAAGCATGGTTTTAAATGTCCTATGCGGTATGGCTCTACCGGCATTGCTAATATTCATTGCTCCAACGTGCCAAACGAAATAGCGAAACATACTATTTTGAAGTAAGATAGCTATAATGTGGCTTACCTTGTGATCAATGGCCACTAATGGTTCGTTCAAATCGAAAATACCTATTTCTTAAGCATTGTTTGAAGAGGGACATATCAGAAATTTGGGAAATACCGAGGAGACCTCTTGAGTCCGCGCGGGTAGGTACCACCGCCCTGCCTATTTCTACCGTGAGACAGTAATGTGTTTCGGTCTGAAGGGTAGGGCAGCCGTTGTAACTATACTGAGATCTTAGAACTTATATCTCAAGGTCGGTGGCGCATTTACGTTGTAGATGTCTATGGGCTCCAGTAACGACTTAACACTAGGTGGACTGTGAGCTCGTCCATCCATATAAGCAAAAAAAAACATCAATTTCAAATATCTGTTAAAATTTCTAAGGTTAAATTTATGTTTTTCCAACAGCACTAAGAAGAGGTACGGAAAATCAACCAGCAAAGAAGGCGCGAAACGATGGCGGTGGCAGCGACGGAGCGAGTGGCGGTCGAGACCAGCTCGCTTACAGCTGCCTCCTACAGAACGAACTCCTCGGTGCACAGATAGAGGAAGTCAGGAATCCATCGGCGACGTGTCCGGATGGCAACAAGACTATCGGCACCGTCCAGACGCCTGGCAGATCGTCGCAAGCTTACCAACCGGTCTTCAGATTCAAAGCGCCGATCCACAGAGCAGAGGTGAGTGCTATAATATTTTTCTGAGATTTCAACACTAAGGTATCATTGCCGAGTAGGCCGAGTTTTGTAGGCAGCGGCTTGGCTCTGCCCCTAGCATTGCTGAAGTCCCTGGGCGACGGTAACCACTCACTATCAGGTTGGCCGTATGCTCGTCTGCCCACAAGAGCAATAATAAAATAAAATAAAAGTACTGCGGTTAATTTGCGTGGCCACTGATAAATCGCTATCAGGTGATTTTGCTGTCGCCTCGCAACCTCAAAACTTTTGAAACGATATACGTATTCTGTTTATATGCCCAAATATAATGAAATCTTCTGAATGATAACATGTTGCTGCCGCTAATCCAGATACGGGTCGTTGGGCTCTTTGGCCTCCGAGGCAGAAGTTTCCGCGTGTCTGTACTGGGAATGAGAGTCCAGTATAGGGTTTCGCTTATATGCTTGGTTTTCTCGGCGTATCCTTTTGTGAACGCGAGGGTGTTACTTATTTTGTCCCAAAGTATAATAGTTATCGTCTTATAATATTACGCAACGAAGAATTCATTAGTCATCAAAGACCTCAATGCAAGCATTACAATAATTGTAATTGTTGCTATAGCTACACTCGGCGGTTGAGGAGTGCATAAAACTGGATTTTGACGCAAAACATAATCGGCAAACCGCATATCCATTTGGGTGGTCGTTGCACATTAGTTTACTAATTGCTAATTAGTTTAATTTTTGCTCATCGAAATTGCCGAATTCTGGTTATTGAAAAATTACAAAAAAAAATAAACGTCGAAAACCAATATCAATTTTAAGGTGTCCATTTTATGTCGTTAGGTCAAAGATTCTTCTTGTCCAATAAATTTTAATAAAATTAAATGTATGCATCTCATTTTCATATGCACGTTGTTAGTAGGTGGAATTTAGATGTGGTTTTGGACTACAAGGAGATACTCGGCGATGCGATTTTAAAAGAGATACTAAAACATGTTACAGTGCTATGCTATAAGAAAATTCTTTATCAATTACGTATTTTAGATTCTAAATAAATTTTTAGTAAGTTGTATTTCTGTTGATTTGAATCTTTCATTGCGAAACGTGTCCGATTGCAAAACATCCAGAAATAGAATATCTCTTCGTTGTGTATTTAATGTTGAATCGCATAGTGTTCCCGATACTAAGAATTTGTCTCGTTGCTGTCATTCGAGTCTTAGATTGTATTGGTGCATTGGGCTATTCTATTTAATATCGATTATTGGTTATTTAGCGATAAGAGCGCAAATTGTAACACTTAATATTCTTTGCTTCATAAAAGGGCGAAATAAAAAAAGGACTTTAGGTGCGTTTTCTTGTTGAATTATACGGAATTCGTAGTCGAAGTGTAGCATAGGTAATATTATTATGTACGCATCGATAAAATTACTGTATTACGTTCAATTTTAAAATTAGGTCATACCTCTGAGTGTAACTTTCCAATGTGTGTTAAATTTACAGTGTGCTGCTAGTTTTAATAATACGTAACACGCGTAAATAAATACCAGACCAATACATTTGCAGTCGTACTGTGCAACCTCAATTCTATTGGGTGACGTCAACAGATTTATACCTATATTTAATTGTTCCCTTCTAGTTATTGGTATTATTTCGTTGATTCGGTATTATTTCTTATTTCAATATTCGACAGCTATTTATTTATATGAGAGCTAAGGGACACGCAACTTTGAACAGCGCTACAAATTCAAAAGTAAATGATATGCTCGTACTTATTGTCAGCGTATTTTCTGCACGTCATCTTGTCGTCATTTCTCTTAGTGTTCAGTTTTATTGTAACCATTCACACCATCGGCCTACTAGAATCGAATGTTGAGGCTTATTTGTTTACATCTCTCGTATTATTCCACCAGTGCGACCGATTTTCACCAACCATTTTTCCATTTCTTGGCAATTTATTTGCCTCTTCTACTTAAATACGAAACATTAATAAAGTTCCTATTAATTTTGCCCAATCGTTTCGAAGCTACCATAATTGGTGATTGCTGCATCAGAACTATTCTAGAAACAAGCAGCCTGACAACAAAGCGATCTGCTCGTAGTCTTTGTTACAAACTGCAATTGTGTTTGATTTGGAGTACTTGCGTAAGCGAGCTCTCGGTCTATCTAAGTCACAAGATATCAATATATTCTTAGCTGAGTCTATGATTTTTTGCAGTTTTGCTTGGAAAAGTTACCATCAAAGATGTCAACTGTTTTTTTTTTGGTATTAGAAACAAAAACATAACACATTACAAATGCACTATGTATATATAGGCTGTATGTTTTTGTTCTATGTTCATTCGTCACGCATAAGTTTTTATATGTTATTTTATTATTTTGAAATGTCATATATTATTTTCTAAGTATCGTAAAGCTGCTTGACATTTATTTGGTTTTTTTTTCTGCAACAAAAACGATACGAAACCGTCATTCGATCGGATGTTTTAGCACCATTCCGCGACCGAACAACAAAAATCGATTCCGCTCAAATTGTGTACACTTTTTTTTTGTTTTTTGTTTTTTTGTTTTTGTTAATTTTTACATACCCTGTTATCTGTCAAAACAAAATTACGAACGCATTAAACGTGTAAATTATCGTTCGATATCGACAAATTCAATTTGCTAAAATCGAGTAGGTACTATCATCGGACCGGGTCAAACATTATTATCGATTTTATTATCGTGGCGAGTACTTGTACATTTGTACTGTCGTGTTTTTTTTTTATGTTTAGTAAACATTCTTTTTTTATGTGTGCAATTGTTGTTTCTATATGTGTTCCTATCGGGGATGGGCAGGTGAGTTCACGGTTATTGGGTCCCATAGGCACAGTAACGGGAATACACAATCAAAGCAATAGTATTGATGAAAACGATTCATGAATCATTCATGTGAATGCGGGCTCGCAAATTGCTTTAAATATCGCTCATACGTATAAGATCTTGAGGGTAGGAAAAAAAAAAACGAAACGAGCATACTATTAAGTTTGATAAAATACTCAATACTAAATATTACACTTCCAACCGGTAACCATTTAGTAACAGATGGGAAGGGAGCTCGTTAAAGCGATAAAAAATTACACAAGACTGTAGTAGGGATAGTTCACAGATTGTCGTAGTTTACTTAATTCTGTACTTAATTATTTGTAATTCCACTTTTACAATTTTTTAGGTATTCATACGCGATCACCGCAATGTACACAGCTTTACACGTTTTTTATTCAGCTACCCCCTTTACTTCGTTCACCGCAATTTTTAATATGCCTCCTACCCACTACCGTCATCGCTCTCACCAATAGTATTGCCACATGGCAATCCGAAAATTGTGTTCATTTTAACATTTAATTTTTTTTTTAATTATAATTATTTTACAACAAACCTTACAATACTAGTAGTAAAATCCGGTCATGCTCCGCTATTACTAAAGTTCATTAACTAAATATACCATAACGGATCAAATTACCCATTTTGAAATTTTGGATTGAAAATGCACGTATCATCTTATTAAGTTTGCACATTTGACTTCATGACTTTTCTTACTAATTAATCTACAGTTATCATACTTTTTTTTTTGTTTTGTCTTGTTTATTTATTTATTTATTAAGTTGCACCAACAAAGTGATAATCAATACAAAACATTGATAAACTGACCAAAGTTCACATGATGATGATGTCACCTCAATTATAGGTGCAATCGTCAGTGCATTAAAAAAAAATTATATATCTAAGATTTGCTTACATTTGATTAACTGTTTAAGATTAATTTATATTTAATTGTATATTAATATAATATATAATATAGGTACTGTAGTAATCATCGCTTGTAACATGGCTTTCTGTAGACAACGCAAGAATTGAAGTTTAATATAATAACTGTTAATTCATGCATCTCAAAATCGACGCACGATTACTGTTATACAAGTAGAATTGCGCCTCATTATTTGAATCCGATATAATAGTTTTGTAAAAATTTCCATACAAAGAAAAAAAAAAAAAAGTAAACGTCTTGACAGATTGACAGGCCACCAGAAGGATTTTTAATGTTTCACCATCGTAAAACTCAATTGAAAAGGTCTTCCAACATAAAAGGAACTAATAAAAATACATCATCAATTTGGAGATGTGTGGATTTTTTTTTTATATCTTCTTTCGCAAAAAACGCATCTCGACAATAAGCCAATACGAGGACCGTTCAAATAATTCATCGACCAGTAAAAAGCGCACGTCACGAACGCTTTTTTTACTCATGCAACATCCATTTAAATATGTTTTGGCGTCAAAGACAAACACAGTCAAATTATTTTTGAACGTTTTCAAAAATATTTACGAGATCATTTTGCAACGGAAAGAAACTAAATCAATATATACTACATCCGATTTTATGCTATCTGGCATATTATACATATGTGCTATTGTTGTATATTCAAAACTTTGATACCCAATGCTGGGCATGGGCCTCTTCTTTTTTATGCCATTATATTCGATGGCCCCGCCATTCTCAACCACGTCCTTCCCGCCATCGTGTCCATCAGTCTTGTATATATGCTACTTAGAATTGTCATTAACATAATTCATGTTTCCCTCAATTATATTGTAATTATCTATCCAGCTACAAGCTCATCGGTGTTTATCGCAAACGTCATGATTTCTTACATATATCTTCGTTGGGCATTCCTAATTGCCGATATTACCAACATGCAGTTTACAATTTTCATCTGTTGGTAGGACCTCTTGTGAGTCCGCACGGGTAGGTGCCACCCCTCGGCCTATTTCTGCCGTGAAGCAGTAGGTAATGCGTTTCGGTTTGAAGGGTAGGGCAGCCGTTGTAACTATACTGAGACAGAACTTATATCTCAAGATGGGTGGCGCATTTACGCTGTAGATGTCTATGGGCTCCAGTAACCACTTAACACCAGGTAGACTGTGAGCTCGTTCACTCGTCCAAGCAATAAAAAAAAGAAAAAAGATAAAATAAATTTTTCATAG